ATTTTAATAACTTTAATATTGACCATAGATGAGATCAGAATTTTCGATAGAATTCTTTCAAATACATCATTGAGCCGTCCATCTGAATTTGCATAGATAGATAGCAAGTCCCAAAATAAGTCTTTGACCTGCGGCTCAAAAAGCGTCACGAAAACCAGTTTCTTCAACAGTTAATTCAAGCAAGTTTTAGGTTGCTACCAAACATAATTACATGGTAGACCAACGTTACACGGTTCACACATGAGACGACTCCATGGTTCAAATCAAAATCCAGTGCCATCAGTTATATACATTATAATTAAATCGAGTTATTGGATTGTACCAAACATAATTACGTGGTAGGCAGACGTTGCACGGTTCACCTCACATAAGACGACTCCATGATTAAGAGCCATCAATTATAACTTTTTGCCTAAGCTGTATAATTAAAAATAGTCTGTCTAAGCTGTAGGGGTTGCAAGTCCCGGTACTAAGGAGTGTTACTGAATTCCCGGTACCAGGTCTAAGCCAGTACCGGGAAAACCGGGAAATTCGGGAATTTCGGTACCCACGTGAATGGTCATTATTTATTAAAACAAATTACCTAATTTGTACGTAATTTTAATAAAAATGTAAATAGGTTAACAAAAATATTAAACTTTTTCTGTTCAGTTCAATTGGTTTGTTACCTTAATAATAAATCAGTCCAAACAGTTATACAACACGACAAAACTAGTTATAAATGCCTATTAAAAATTAATCATAACCGCCATATTCATAAAAAGCAACAATCGTTTAATCAACCTATTTTAGTTAAAATATGTTTTCTCACTTTCTATCAATGTCAAATACTGGTAGCGACAAGATTTAGAGTAGGCGCACACCGTTGATTTTCAACCGACTTCAAGAAAGGAGGAGGTTCTCAATTCGACCCGTATGTTTTTTTTTCTATGTTTGTTACGCGATTACTCCGCCAATTATGAACCGATTTGAACAAATCTTTATAGGTAATACCTCAAGGGTGGTCCCATTTAAATTTAATAATAGAAAAAACAACCCCCAAGGGTGGAAAATTGGGGATGAACTTTTTTATACGCAATATCTCCGCCGATAAATCAATTTGAACGATTATTTTTTTGTTGAATAGGTATTATCAAAAGGGTGGTTTCATGCGAATTTGAAGAAAATATTTCACCATTTGTCGGGTGGAAAATTGGGGATGAACTTTTTTAAACGCAATATTTTTAAATTTTTAGTTTTTTTTGTGTTCACGCATTTGAAGTCGGTATTATTTTTTTTTTTAAGTTATTAGTTGGCCGATAGTTGTGCCCGATTTTAATTTGTATGAAGAATCGCACGGTGGATCGAAATGGCATTAAAGTGGACATAGGGATTTTTTTCGGAAAATCGAATTTTAAAAATTGCCAATCGATAGGCCTTTGCTCACTCATCACGACATGNAAATTGGACAAACAGTTTTAAAAGGTGTAGTGTCGGAAAATAGACACGGTGAAGTAAAGTTAATGTTTTTATTAGCTAAAATAATTTTTTGCAACAGTTTTTTGTCATAAGTATTTCAAAATTATTTAATAAGTGTAGTTTTTTTAAATTATTTAAATCACTACAGTTAATTATTATTCCTAAATATTACGATTTTCCATTAAAGAAGAATAACAGTGCTGTTGGAACAAGAAACCTTGATTGCGACGACACGATGATCGACCGAGCGTGTATAGAAATACGCGTGTGCTCACAGGCGCGTGGCGGCCCTGACTGATTTGCAACTTGAAGTTGTCGCGCGCTGTATAGGTAATTATCTCGGCCGGCATAGGCGAGTGACGGAGGCCTGGTAATACCCAGACATGTGAAAGTAAATAAAAGCTTGCAATAATAATAAAATACGAGGTCTTCTGGCCAAAATAAAAAATATATTTTTGTTGAGGGACTGATAATCAGTAAGAGATCTTTTTATTGAGGTACTGATAATCCGTTTTTTGCTTCTTTAGCATTTAAGAATGCCAAGAGTGTCACCCTTAAAACCAATTACGTAGAATCTTGTAACTTAATAGATGAGTTAATCGGTAAAATTGTATCTTGTATTTAAGTAGGTACCTATTTATATTATGTTATTGCTATTTATCTATGAAAATAAGACAAAATATGTGTTATATAAACACTTAAGAGTCATTTACAGTAGTAAAGTTTGAAAAAAATATTGCTGTGAAATACAGAATCACTTTCGTGGCATCGAAAAATTCAAAACGTTAAAGCTTCCAAACGAGACTCACTATTTGACTGATTTACTGAGAATACAATCTTCACATCAAGCGCTACAATTTTTGTTTACAAAAAGTTCAAATAAGTTAGAAATAAAATTCGCCACGAAGGTGACGATGAGAACCGTGGCGATGAGAAATACCCGGATATTGAAATCTCATCATCATCATCAGGTCATCATTAAGTCTCCACTACAGGAGCACTACTCTCTAATTTACCAACAAATGGAGGATTCATTGCCTAGAATCAGTGCTGTAACTAGCCTTTTATGCGCCCGGTGCGAGCTTTCAAAACTGCGCCCTTGAATAATGCTTGGTCTGGTCATTTCTGCGCCCCTCCAGGGTCTGCGCTCTGTGCCTGGGCACCGCTGGCACCGCCCTAGTTACGGCACTGCCTAGAATCACCAGCTAGTCAGGAGTTGAGGAGGCTTGATGTTCGCAAGTTTGTCCCTTAAGTAGTCGCCTCTTACGACATCCCCGAGAAGTGTGGGGTGGTCTTATTCTTTTTTTTTTTTTGTTGAAGTGCTGTCGGTTTGCACTTCCTATCGGAGCTTAATGGGTTACTCCGAGAGCAAGGCAGTGTTTATCTTTCCGGGCTATTTAGTGTTAATTATTATTTATTGAATTCTTTGAGATGGCTTACTATATAGTGGATGAATGTGTGGAAGCTGTTGCTGGTTTCGTGTTTTTTAATGATTTCTATTAGACTATATGGGTTCAGATTTTGTGCGTGAGAGATGGATTCATGATCTAGGCGTTTAGACGCGAATCTTATTCTTTGCCGGAACTACACGGCCATTGACATCTAACTTTACTAAAATATATTGTCTTTTACTATTAAATAACACGACAATCTCATGGCTGACCTATCACAATCGCTATGGATCAGTTTTTATCGAGTGGTCACGCTTTGGTGTGAACGAATAAAGTAGGTAAACTATAAAGTATGTCAACAGACACCTTTATAACATCGTCTTGTAGCCCATATGTTTTTTAGGAAAACTTCAAAGATTTTTCTGATTTAGAATATCTGAGCTAACCTTTTGATTTTTTGAATATATTATTAGGTACGAAGTTTCCGTAGAAATTCCTTTTTTTCCGTTTTTCATCTTTTTTCCTTTTACGCATTTTAATAAAATAAATATTTTTTGTATTATTCTGAATTGTAATGTTTGCTGAATATCAATTAAAAGTAAACCACGAAACAAATATTGCGTGTCTAGACGAGAAAGATGATCCGGCAATTACGATGGCCGAGATGAAGCGCGGACACTGGCACACTTCGCCGCTTGCGCAACTCTTAGATAATGGCCACTACAGTCTGCGCCAATTCAAACTGTCAGTTTTTCTAACAAATAGAGCCGAATAACATAATTGTTTCAAATAAATACTCGACACTGGCAGAAATAACCCTTGATTGGGGGGTTTTAAATGTCAATAAAAAATAATGAAACTGAGTTCCTATGTGATTTGAGGAAACTTATTTTTAATTATAAGTTCATAATTAAGTAGAAAATAAGCAAGCTGAAACTAAAATCTCAATTCAGAAACCAGGGGAAAGTGAAATAAGTATTACTGAGGCAGACTTTCTAACTGGGCAGATTTTTGCCATAGTATTTTCCAAAATTTTCAGTGGCTTATTGCTGTCCTGAAGCAGTGTTAGAGTTGGGACGTGTAAAAGTGCTCTTTGGGAGCATATTTGCATAAATAAATGATTTGATTTGATAGTTTCTATTGGCCCGACAACAAATCACGTTAATCACAAAATTGTACACTCTAATGTACTGTCGACTGTACCATTAACAAAACAATTACACGAAAAAGTTCCATTCAACACGACTCTAATTGTACTACTATATCCGTTGCTTCAATTATCTTTAATTACATGTTTTGACTGAATTGAATTAAATAACGAAAACACAATGATAAGCTTATAATTAATCTAATTATACAGCATTTGAAAATATTGGACGCGTTTTCCTTGAATTTGACGTTATCTAAATACTTTTTAACCTCGGAGATAGTCAAAGATATCTTAGAACTTCCTTTTATTGCTTTAAAAATCAATCTCTGCAATGTAGAGTTAACTTTGAATAGTTAATTTAATTTTGTAAACAGACGCGTAAAAAACCAAGTATTCGGTAGAATTTATTTATTAAATTGCTACACGTACTGCAATTTATATTTACTTAATAATAAAACATGCAAAGTAATTTGTCAATCTGTTAAAAATAAACGTAGAGCAAGATATAACGTGCAGATATTCAATCTGCGGAAACGAAATACTTAGTAGAGTCAAGGTGAACGGGGTCCGAGGAATGTACTCCACTAGATTTCATTGTTCATGACTTGATAGCGATGTATTAAGATGCTTTGCCTCTATTTGCATTGTTGTCAAACCATTACGAACGCAAAAAAGAGATTAACATCATAATTACACAGTAACGCTGCCATTTAAAATTCTATTTCAGTCATTAGATTTGGTACATGATTCCAGTGATCATATTGAAATAACGCTACTGATTTACTACAACATTCGTTATTATAAAAATAAAACTAACTCTACATTTTAAAATGCCGTGAAATTAAGTTTTCTGAAACTGAACTACTTTTAGATGACCACTTGACCACTTTGTTTAGTTTAGATTTAAATCTGACCACAAGAGGCTTGATTTTACTGTGTTTATTTGAGAAAAACTGAAAATTTTAATTAATTTCACTTAAGTAAGCAATTAAGGTACTCACTTTGTAAATATTCGACGTTCTCCTGGATTTCAGGCATCAAGTGCATGAACGTTGTGGACAGCAGCACGCCTCCTCCGAAGGAGAGAAGCGTCATCACGATCCTGTTGGTGGATTTCAGATTGCTGGCTTCCTCCGCAGACACCAGGTTGAACCGCTTGGAGATCAGCAGCGGTGCAATACCACAGATCATGGAGGCACAGAACAGCACCGCCATGGAAACTCCTTTGGCCAGGACGACTCCTTCGGTGTCATTTTCGTCCTCGCTGTGTCTCAGATGGTCGATTTCGAGAGACATTTTGGTGTGATGTGGTCCGTAAACGGTGGAAAAAAATAGTGAACTGGCCCGAGGGTGCGTGCCCTTTTATACGTGCGCGTATCAGATCGCCGCGTGCACCGTGCGAGAGCGACGCGCTTGGACTATGCGCGCGCGCCGGCCGGCAGTAGCTCCACTCCCGCGCAGCCTACTCGTAGCATGCACAAAGCCTTACACTCCGCGCGCTAATTAAATGTGCGATTTATTTTTGTTCGGTGATTTGTATTGGATTTGAAGATGTAAAAATTGATTCACGGTTACTTAAGTTATAAAAAATATTAGTACCTATATAGTTTATTTATTTAACAATGTTTCAACATAATAAATTAAAAATATTTTTTTTGTGTCACAAAATGTTTCAATAATTTTGAAATGTAGCTAGTTACCTATTTTACTAACTTTAAAAATGTAGAACTTCTAGCTACTTTTTCTTACGTAATTGCCACCTGTTTTATGCAAACTGCTCTTGAAAGAATCTTAATCTAAGTTTCTAGGTCAGGAAAAATGTATGTTACCGCGGTCGCGCGGTAACGATTTATTGAAATGTCGCATCGCAGTATTCGCAGTAATACTTTTCATGAGTAATACAACTATTATCGTGGTCGAAGGCATGCATTGTTTGCTGTTCCTCCGTGTCGTACGGTTTCAAGATCGAAATCACTTATACCACGTACATTAAGTGCTCTCAATCGTTTCCTGGACCAAAACCCAAAATGTGACGTATTTACAGAGGGGTGGAGTACGTTACTAGCAGAATGTTTGGGTTACTGTGAAAATAATCGCATCTGATTTATGTACTTTTCCTAAATTAAGTTAAGTTAAATTGTTTTTAATTACTTAAATGTTATTCTGAGCTTTGTTACGTCTTGTTTGAATAGTGTAATTGGTACTACCGTTCTATTCATGAATAAATAAATAAATAAATAAATGATATTCTCGTTATTTCTGTTTACATAAAACGTTTGGTATAGTAATATTATTGATAAATGTGAAATGAGATTTTAAGTTATCACTCATGATATAAATAGGTATTATTGGAACATAATTTTGTACCTGAAATTACTTCTAGTAGAACGAATTCACGACCATTCCCTTACCAGCAACTGCTCGCATTGAGTAATCTCATAATACGTAATTTTAATGAGCGTGTTACAAAAAAATTAATAGGTACTTATCTAAGTACATTATAGATTATTATAATAAAATAAGTTTTCTTATATTTCATCATCTCATTTACACGGTTACTTGTATAGTATAAAAAAATATCTTAAAATATATTGTAATAATTTCGTCGCAACATTCCATAGCGTATGGCCATTACATAGTTAGTGAAACCGTAAAAGTTCGTGTCACCAACAGACACTCAAACCCTACAAAAAGGTCACCTTGATCTCGTGCGGAAATATCCGTTGACATGGACACAGAATTTAATAAATTTTATTAAATGAAATGAACTATTTTTCAAAAGTAAACATGCATGGGAGTAGTAAAAAAGATAAAGGTGAAAATGTCTTCCGGAAAGGTAGATACGTGCTAAGGACACATAAAGATTAATATTATTTAATAGCTCTAATTAAGAAGGTAATTAGAGCGATTTAATTACAAAACTATTAACAAAAATAATTTAAGCATGTAAACCATGAACCTAAAAAGTTGTACTCGAAATGTGTAAGTAATGAGAGTTTTCCTTTTCAGAGAGAGTAGAGAATCGATCTTTACTGAGTAAAAACATGAACAAATGTTGCTGAAAATTACAGTAATATATTTTATAACGAAACATGCATGCTAACGAAGTCTATAAGTACCAATTCAAGCAATGTATTAGATTGCAAAAACATCAGCACAAAATAAGAATTTTATTTAAAAGTAATAATGGCGGTGTCTTTAACCTATTTCAATAGTTTAGCATTATCCCTCAACAGCTTTGAAATCAAACAAACTGAATTGTAAAGGAAAATTATATTCAACAAGCAAGTGTTAAAATGCCACTTACTCACTTCACACCTTTATGAATAACTATAAGTTCTGTCTTAAGATATAAATACGTTGGCAACATGCAATTTACACAATGAATGTCAAGCCTTTTGCTTCATTCAGTAATGTGAGCTGAATAGAGTCAGAGATTTGTCACACTGAAAATACCTTTTTAAATAATTGTATAAAAACCACGTTTTACAGTGAAAATAAAAAGCCGTTTTCCAGTCTGTGGTATAAGGGTCGGTCTAGATTATTATAACCTAAAACATTTTTATGGAGCTTGAACTTTCACTCAATTACCTAGTAGGTACCTACCTACCTAGCGGAAAATTCATTTCAAATGCAATAAATTATCTCCGCTGTCCGCTGCTGGAAAGAGTATTTTCCCATAGAACGTCGCAGCGAAAAGTTTTTCACCCAGGGCCTTTCCACAACATTGAAAACTGCCTTGGAGTTTTAAAACGTCCAATCCACAATACTTTTCAGTATGATTGACACCAAAGATCCAATGAATAGGTAGGATCATGTTTTCAAATGCAAAAAAAAGAAGTCTGACTGCATGGAAACACCATGATGATTTCAATGCATGTTACTTCTGTAAGTTTAGGTAAGTACCTACTTACTGATGACGTCATTGAATTCTATTGAATTCCATTCTTCACTTTTTGCTTTTATCATGTAAAACCAGATACAACAGAAGTACTTACAAGTAAGACATTACTTGTACTTATAGGATTTTACATATTAGGTATCTTCTCTCGTATAAACACAGGTTCGACTTCTATACAACTCACGTATGCAGATCATTGCTAACAAGATGATATTATGATGAGATAGATTCATAATCTTCTAGCTTAAATTATAGCTACGAGTAATTGAAAAAATAAGGAAAATAAACTTTTTTTGTAGTTTTTTAACAATAATGAATGTGACTGTAAAATATTTTAGATCAGGTACGCAAAAACAATAAAACATTTAAGTTGCATCACAGTTAAATGCTACGTTATGAACTTTTATGTTTAAAGAAAGTGCTATGACAATACCTCCAGTTTTCGTCACTCATGATGGTTATCTAGCTAGGCAAAACACGGGACCGGTATTCCTAACCGGTCCGAACGTTTATAGACTGCAGTATGCACTTTACAAACAAGAAATTACTGGGATTCCCGCATTGGACATGGATCTGCGGAGTTTCCTTGCAGAATGTTGCGAAAGATAGTCATGGACGGTTGCGTGCCGTTTGTTGATATCGACAGAAAAAGGTTTTATTTTCTTTCATTATATCGCCTTGTTTCAGTAACGACGAAGCACTTTATGGGACATCATCTATGCTGAAAGAATCTGAAGTGAGTTTTGTTTTATTTGTCTACATCATGGGCGTTATGAATATTCACCTAATAAAAATAAAAATAAAAAAATTGAAATAATGACGTTTTATACTTGACACTGGCTATATGCAAACCGCACGAAGACTTATTTAAAAAAAAGTAGGTAACATGACGTTTCACTTTCCCGCCAAGAAGACCAAATTTTTTTTATCTGTGATTGTTAGGAAACCTTTTTCGTTACCTATGGTCTTTTCGTTATCCTTTTTAGTTACCATATCATATTTTCTTACCACTTTCTACTTGTAAGGCCGACTACATTAATTTCCTTGCTAAAATTACCAAACTAATGCGTTAACCTACAATTATGCTAAACCTATCGCCTTTAATTAGCAATAAATTATTGTAAAATTGTATTTACGTAGGTGGTTTCTTGAATTTAACGGAACTAAAAACTTTTTTCCAACTTCATCATCCAAATAATGTTTCCAAGAATTCTAACTGATTACCTAAGGCGTAACATTTTCCTTGTTCTAAGCTCAGTAGATATTTATATCATTGAGGTAGGCCATGTTTGATGTTTTGATACAACTAAGTAGGTAAGGGTACTGGGTTTTTAATTTTTTGTTTTTTAATAAGTCTTCTGAATTTACGGTTATCCTTTTATTTTCTGGTAAGTGGATAGGTTCTGACTGTCTGTTTTGATAGTAACTTACTTACCCATTAAACTTTACAATCTAAAATAAGAAGAATAGAACAGAATAGACTTTATTGATCACAAAGCACACATGATAAGAGGAAATCTATACTTATAATAAATCTGTAGAGAGGTCAATTCTGTACATGAAATATATTTTCAAAATAACTATCAGGGGGTGATTAGTGATCGATNCCAAATGGTAAAATTAAAATCTTTTATTTTATAATATGAATAGTATTCGAAACACGCAAAACTAGTGACTTATTTTGCTGAAACTACAAGGATTAGCTTATACATCAAATTATCTTGTTCCTTAAATAAAAATAAAACTAAGCAAGTATGTCGACATTATTATGTATGTAATATTCCTTATTGCTATGATAAAAGCAAGGAAAAAGAAGCGCCACACTAAACATGTTTGCATCATTGCATCTTAGTTATTATCCAGTTATTTTAGCACATGTTTTCAACTTAGTTGATGCAGTTGCCTCAATTCAGCATCACTTTTTTTGTAATATCGCACCTAAGGCCCGTCATACACGGAACCCCTTGAGCAGTCGTACAGTCACGACGAAATTTCACCTTGCTGCCAACCGCTCGAAGCTGTCACAACTGCTCAAGCGTTTCCATGTATAATACTGTAGTTTGATATGCAGTCGTAGCTTGAAGTTGTCCGTCTATGGCGGGCCTAGATAAAAATTCCGACCATATTATAATTGAAAAAGGTTCAGTGTGTCTGTCTGTGTGTAATTTATGCCCGTTTTCACCATCAATCCCTAATTTTTAAGTGACCCCTATGATGACACATAACAGGCATTTTGTTGTCATAGGGGTCACTTAAAAATTAGGGATTGATGGTGAAAACGAGCATTAGTCTAAACCTTAATCAGTCACCTTACAAGTAAAATAATCAGATACTTTTTCTGTTTTCCAGTCAGCAAGAGCTGTTCTCAGTGCTGAAAGCGTATTCGGTGCTGAACCCGAAGGTGGGATACTTCCAGGCGCAGGCGCCGGTGGCGGCCTTCCTGCTGATGCACATGCCGGCTGTCCAGGCCTTCTGGTGCCTCGTCAGCATCAGCGATAAGTACCTGAGCGGGTACTATAACCCAGGGCTCGAGGTATGTGAACTATTTATCTAATTTTATTATCTTTGTACAAATTTATTTATCTATCAATTTCTGGTGCCTCGTCAGCATTAGCTATAAGTAAAGCTCGAGGTGTGTGATTTATTTGTTTTATTTAATTTTGTGTTAGTTAAACGATAGAGTTTAGAATGGATCTATTTCTGGCCAAGCGTCAGTACTGTCCTGATTGAGACGTCAGAAGAAGTCATGATGCAGCACTTTATAAAAAAATATTGTCAAATCGAGATCGATTACAGCAATTCGGCATTTAATAAAAAATATCTATGAAGAGAATTTTCTGACAAACCTCATTATTTTTTCTCGTATCCAATTGCTTGAGGTAGATTGCACACTATGCCTGATGCGCTGACAGAACCATATTTGTTAGGTCAGCTAGTTACCCGTCAGTAAGTCAGCGTGTTAAGTTTCAACCACACCAACACATGCAGATCGCCATCGCCGACGCGATCAAATTCGACCAAATTCCTAAAAAATCGGTCTTTGATCGCGCCGGCGATGGCGATCTACACGCGCTGGTGTAGTTGAAGCTTTATCTAGAAGTTGTGCTATCCCCAGGTGCTCCAAGAAATCTGCCAGGTCAGCAAATATGCCGTGTCATCTAGTATTTTTCTTATCCCCAGGTGCTCCAACGCGACGGTGACATCCTCCACGCGTTGCTCCGACGCACAGCGCCCGCAGTCCACCGCCACCTGACCAAGCACAAAGTGGAGCCAGTGCTGTACGCGACCGAGTGGTTCCTGTGCGCGCTCACCAGGACGCTGCCCTGGGACAGCCTGCTGAGGGTCTGGGATTGCTTCCTGTGTGAAGGGGTCAAGGTAAGAACTGGATACAAAACAACTGTTCTTATGTGTGTGTTACTCCCAAGGAGCCAAGTAGCGACTTACTGGACATATAGTTCTGGACTTACCAGGAAGCCGCCCAGCGGGTTTACTCCGGAAAACGGTATCTGAAGTTTCGAATGTTGCCATCCCTTTCACGCAAATCGAGATGCCAGCATGAGCGACGGTGCAACTACTCCGAAACTACTTAAACAGCATTTCGGAATAGTCCTGCTGGGATAGCCCGTTGCGGGTCTGGGGTTGATGATCTAATATCCTAAAGGAGTCAAGGTAGCGACCAAGTGGACAGCTCCTCAGGAAGTTTTTCTGGACAATCCGCTGCGTGTTTGGGTCATGAGCGAGGGGGTCAAATAAAGACCTGGTGGATATAACGGTTCTACGAGTAATATCCTCAAGGAATCAAGGTAGCGACCTACTGGACAAATAGTTCTGCGCTGACCAGAAGGCTGCCCTGGTGCCCTTACAGCAAGGCAACGACGACCACTTGATATTTCTCCAACATTCTATATTTATAGTTCTACTAGTGTGAGTACCGTTAGTGCGGAAATGCGGAATGCAATGTTATTACGTAGCGTATCTACTTAGTAGGACCTGAGGGACGAACCAAATAGAATAATGGATCTACCGTTATTGAAAGCGGTTCAAATCCCAAGGCAGTTGTTAATGAATAACACTCGGGGAATATACCCAGTGATGCACAGAGTTTTGACGGCCATCAATTGTATATCGACAGACGTCTACTTAATAAGAATTGTATTCCTTCTTCAATATTATCTCAGACACTACTCGTATTAGCTCCCCAAAAACATAGTATTAGATGTCATTTCTTTCCCAGGTGCTGTTCAAAGCCGCACTAGTGATCCTGGCTGGTGCGTTAGGCCCGGCCAAAGTCCGCAAGCGGGCCCACGGCCTCTGCGAGAGCCTCGAGGTGCTTCGCCACCCGCCCGAGGCAGTCCTGGCTGAAGAATACCTGATGTACCACATGCAGCGCCTCAACCTCACTGAGGAAGACTTCGAGTTTGAGCACCAGCGCCAGACCGCGCGCCGCAGAGCACTACCCAGTAGAAGGTAAGCCCTGGGTCTGCTCTATTTATTTCTACTACACTCGACATCAAATAAATCGCACCTCCCGCGACATGCATTTTCAAACGTATGCATCCCCACTTCCCACCAATATTGGCACTATTTAAAAGCCTAGTTCTAAACTTCATTTCATTAAAGGAAAGGTTTTTACCCCAAAAATGTGTCTTTAGAAGGATCCAGAGTCACTACTTCAAAAAATATGTAGTTACGCTTGAGCCACATTTTATGGCTATAAAACTGTTAAGATGGGATTAATCGCTATCCATCTGTTAAAGAGGACACGTGCGATCATTATTTGGTTTTATATCTGTTACCGTAAAATTGTGAATTCCGACAGATTATAATCTGACGTAGTTAAATTACAATCTAACCTAACCTAACCCACTGTTAGTTTACAATCTAACGCGGTATATTATAAACTGACAGAGTTCACAATTTCACGTTGACATATCCATACAATTTGGTCTAATTGATCCCAGAGGTGAGCCCAAAGTGAGGTCTTTTTTCAAGTCACATTTATAGTATATGTTAACCATTTATTAAGAAATTAAATGTGTTTTTCTTTAAGGATATTTATTAAGTTTTCAAATTACACCAATATTGTTGGGGCACCAAGATTGTGTCAGGAGAAAATCTTTAAAGTTCGCGTCGCGGAAGGTGCGGTTTATTTGATGTTGAGTGTATTAGCATATTCGGAGGACTGCATCATGCAGGGTCTGACCTCACTGGAGAATGAGCACCAGCGACAGTAGAAACCTTTCCTAGTAGAAGGTAAGCCTTAGGTCTGCTCTAGTTCACTATTAACAGGTCCTGAGGAGTGCCTCCACCTCATCCAGGTCATAGTTCGAGCACTTACACTCTGCCTAGCAGGAGGTGAGTTCTTTTGGTCTATTTGTATCTTCTGAGGCGACATGCAGCGTCTAAACCTCACTGGAGAGGATGCACCAGCCCCAATTCTATCCCTCTTTCGAGTTCGAGCACCAGCTCTAAACCACGCTCTCACGCACAGGCTCGAGCTGTATTCCGCTCTAGAGCCTCTAGGAGTCTTGGCTGAGGAATACCTCATGTATAGGGAATGCAATCCCGACTCGAGATTGCAAATTCGAGATCCCGCGAGATTAGAAATATCAATCCCGCGGGATCCCGGAATTTTCGGGATCCCGTCTAGTTTAAAAAAAATTATTGATCACAAAGCACACATGATAAGAGGAAATCTATACTTATAATAAATCTGTAGAGAGGTCAATTCTGTACATGAAATATATTTTCAAAATAACTATCAGGGGGTGATTAGTGATCGATACTGATGCCAAAAATGCAATCAGTAAAATTTTTGTCTGTCTGTCTGTCTGTCTGTATGTTCCTTATAGAAACAAAAACTACTTGACGGATTTTAACGAAACTTGGTACAATTATTCTTCGTACTCCTGGGCAGGTTATAGGATACTTAAGAATTCCCACGGGCACGGGAATTAGCGGGAAAATCCTTTTGTATGAAAAATCTAAACTGCTTAAGTTAGACGCTTGAAATTTGGCATGCAGGTACCTTAGTAAACTTAAAGCTTAGTTACAACAGGATATTGCAAAATTCCCACGGGAACGGGAGTTAGCGGGAAAAAACATTTGTATGAAAAAATCTAAACCGCGTAAGATAGATGAAGGGGGTAAAACGGGATCCACGCGTACGAAGTCGCGGGCGGCCGCTAGTACAAAATATATTTATGAACTATTAGAATACAATAATTTTCGCAGTGGCAGTGGATTACGTTGGTAGCCTTTAGCATAATTTGAAAATATTAACACGAAATATTTTTAAATGGTATTAAAGTAACAATAGAAACAACGTAGGTGGCGTAGGTGCAGCCCTACGGTGGTACTTTATTCTGATCTTGCATTCTAATTACACCTTTATGTAACTCTGCCTACGTCCGGTTTAAGCGAGTTCTGCATAGTTCCTGTTTTATTTCAAAAGTTTTAAGTAGGAAGAACAAGTTGAGTTCAAGAGACAGAATACTCAAAACTTATTAGTAAGAGTACTTGGGTACTAGGTGCCCATATTAGGTATAATACTCAGTAAAAATACGTACGCATCTTTCTTAAAATTCCAACTGGCGAGTCGCGATAATTCTTGCCATTTTCAAGTACCTATTTTGGGTTTTCCTAAACTAAACCAAGATACGTCGGATTTTGACATTACCTCTAGTAGGAAAAACTTTCGAGTTCGTTTCGTTGCGTATTCAAAGTGTCATCGAAAAATTTTGTATGAAAAATTAAACAGCGCCCCCTAGGGCGGCTATAATATAGGGGGCGCTGTTTAATTTTTCATACAAAATTTTTCGATGACACTTTGAATACGCAACGAAACGAACTCGAAAGTTTTTCCTACTAGAGGTAAACGAACTCGAAAGTTTTTCCTACTAGAGGTACAGAGGATTATTTTCAGAAAACCTACATGTCGTTATGTCGAAGTGAAACGAGCAGAGATTCAAATCCCGCCTATAATTGTTTGAATTAAACAATGCTTGGACTTTGTGCCTTTCAATTTTAATATCATTCAGTTTACATACAAACTTCAAACCCATTGCATTTTCGCAACGGTAGCATTTAAGATAAGCACAGTAAACGCTGTGAAAACTCATTAAAAAGTTAAGAAACAAAAGCCTATCCTCATCTCAACACTTCCCGTGAATTTAAACTCTTATTTTTCCTTTTTATGTTGCCAAAAAATTAGGCAAAGGCATCAGTCAAGGCGGCGCATAAGGTCGGACGGAAATGTGGCAGATTGCCGAGGAAAAATGAGACGAAGTTGCCACATTTACTTATTTGAAGTGCGGCCACGTGGCGGCCCATAATCTTATTTTCGCCATCTTGAATCTGCTTTAGAGACTGAAAATAAGTAGGTAGTTAATTATTTGGGATAGCGTCGCCATTTAAAAAAATTAACGTCTAGTAGCCAAACAGGCTGAAACGTCATAATTAGCTCAAATTAATTTTAGCTTATAAGTGCCCCATATACGAGTAAGTTATGCTGCAGGCTGCTTCCAACCGGACAATTTGAAAATCATTGGAAGAGGCCTATGTTCAACAGTGGACGTCCTATGACTGCAATGAAGATGATATAAAGAATTCGATGTCAACTATCGACTACTCATTGTCAATCAGCCTTATTTGTTGGCAAGGTTACTGAAGTCCATTGGCGCAGACTATAATTATAGCGCGTCGTTATACCTACTTGTCTCGCCGTTATTGTCGACGCTCGTTAACGAGACTTAAAAGATGACGTCATGTTGACCGTCTTTCTGAAAGAAAGACCAGCACTAATGAGATATTTAAATTTTAAAAAGGCGTTTGAGTTTATACAGCCTGAGTCCAAAACGCAATTCAAACAAAGTCAAGCATAAATTAAAAGTCTTTGGTCAGCTGAAAATCAGTGAATGACCTTTTTCTAGCTAGGTTCAATATAATCTCGAATATCGGTTTACTAATGTGTGTCATTAGAATCTAAGTTGTATTTCATTTACCAAACAAAATGAAACATTTTAAACTTGTTTGGACTTTGGATTAAGTGAACGAAAAGTCAAGTTTTTTTTTTCAGTTTTTTAGAGGAAAAACGTAAAGTCCAATGAGTAAAAATAACGATTTTATTGCTATGCTAATTTTCGTTTATGTAACCGCTAGTCCGCTACGTGCGTTATGCGTTATCTAAAGTAGTCGAAAAGCCTGATAAAGTATATTGACAAGATTTAATGATAAGAAATATCCTTAAATTGAAAACTGTATTAATATAAGTGATTTTAACTTAATATTAAAATAAGTTTAAGGCTCTATTTGTTAATGGCTGTCACGCGAGACATTCGCACGAGTCTGGGCGAGTGCTATGAGCTATCAGACGAGACTAGACGAGAGTGTACTGCCGGCTATGGTAATTACTAGGAGAAAAAATACTGGCCACCGTCTGATCGGATCGGACATAGTGTAGGAATAAATACCTATTGCGATGAATGATGATGATGATGAAGCCATTTCCACCGAATTATCCAGGCCCCTGGTGACTTGGTTCAAGTAAAACTAAATCCTTTATCCTTCAGGTTGTTGTCTCCCAAAATGCTCCTGCACAGCGATGTCACTAACTAACGCATAAATTTCTCAAAACTGACACTCAGGTAGGTAAGTAACAAATTCCATTTATTTTTTTAATTACATAATGCCCATCTCCCAAAAATAACATTGAGTTAAGAAGATTGCTTGCCGAAATTAAGTTTTGTAAAAGAAAATGTCCAGTGTCTTCGAGGACCGGTTTTTCGAAGGATTTCTCGTAATTGGCCGACCACTTTACTGCATGCGACTAAGGTAGATAAGGTATTTAAAATGCGCATTCTGAAGGCTCTACTTCTTGTGATCTTATTTGATTGATTTAGGTATTTTGTGTCTAACAACATTGTGAAGTCGTGACAGTAAAAATATTGAAGTTATTTAAAAAATAAGATATAGTGGTCTGCATAAGATGCAGTCGCTCTTTAATTTTAAATGAAGCATGTTTATATACCTTTAATCTGTTGACATTTAATAACGTCCAGGACATAAGTGTTAAATGTTACTCAAATAAAATGTGACTGCGTCATTTAGCCCTGAAATAAAAAACCGCGTCTTTCCAAAGCAATTATTTTGATGTGCAGCGAGTCTACTAATGACGTCTCCGTATCTTTGGATCCATCTGTCACTGTTATTCGTACCGGCATATCGCTTTGAATGAGAGAGATAATCGTCTCCGAAACCTTGGATGATGTGGTAGGGCTCTGCGAGCAAACTGTGAAACGCATCACAAGCCGGTCTCCTTTGTGACAGTATTCATTCAATTTACTTTGCAGAAAAGGCAATAAGGAAAAGGATTGATAATCTCTTGCACTTACCAAGTTGGTATTTTAAATTGCAAGTGTGTGCGCGTAACTTGCAATACTATAGCTGCCTAAATGTACAGAATTACATTGG